GTGGAAATCACAAATAAGCCGCAAGCCCCTTACTTCTTTCCTCCTGCAAGCCAAATAGCCGCTATGTACTCCGATGCCCTCCGCCAAGCTGGCAGGGGCTCTGGCTGCTGTGGGGTGTCCGGGCACCCACCTACTGCAGCCCCACGGGCTTTGAGGGGAGCTCAACAGCCCCTCTCCCAAGGCAGGTACGGTCCTCTAAGGGATGGCGAGTGTCCTGGGATAATTTCATGGAAGCCAGCTTCAGCCGCTTGCAAGGCTGAACGAAGCAAGGCAGAGCGGCAGGAAGGCGAGGCACCCGGCAGGTTTGAGGTGTGATGCTCCCTCCCACGGCTGAGCCAGCTTTTGGCTGGAGGTCATCCCCTCCGCGGCTCCCCGGGGAGCGCAACCCGCCGCCGTGCTGCAGGCAGGAGCAGACGCGGAGCCCAGACAGGCAAGTGGCAGCTCTGGTTTTTTCCATCCCTTTCCCAAGCTCAGGCTTCATTAGTGAAATAGCTGCTGGAGATCTCGGTGCCTGGAGAAAAGCTCATGCCAGCAGCGGGCATGGGGCGGGCCGTGCTGTCTGCGGAGCGGTGGCATCCCGCAGCCTGGCCCCTCTCCCGCTCCATTTCTCTGCCTGCCGTGGTTTCCAGCCGTCAGTGCTGGTGTCCGACAACGTCAAAGCTAATTCCCCCTGCGATGCAATGCAACGTTTTCCCTGCCTGCCCCCCACGACCTGGCCCCTTGTTGCCAAGTACTATTAAGCGGCGGCACGTCCCTGTTTTCCGAAGCGGGAGCCGTGCAGAGGCAGAGCCACCCAGCCGGGAAGAGGCAGCTAGGGCTCAGAAACAAACCCGCAAGGCGCTGCTTTTGTGTAGGTCCTACACAGCGTGCATATCCCATTCCTTCCTCCTCCTCTTCCATGTCTGGGGCTGCAGAGCCTCAGAAAGGGCTCCTGCTCGGTACCAGCAACTGCCTGAGCTTCTTCCAGCCCATCCGGGGCTGCAGCAGATGTCTGAGGCGGTGGCACTAGAGAAGCATGGTAGACACACATAGCTCCGTCCCCTTCCATGCAGACACACACATACACATCCCCGGCTGCTCATCTCTCTTGGGCTGTGAGTATCTCTGCCTCCTGGCCTGCCCTGCAGCAGAGGAGAAGGAGATGGGGCTGGAAGGAAGCTTCGCGGCCAGGGAGTATAACCCCTCGGCCAGCCCCCCTCAGAGCCAGCCTTATGATTGCTGGGACCGTTAATGAAATGTTTTCGGCGGTGACCCTGTGATGCGGCGGGGTCATGAAAGTGAGAGGGAAATGTCAAACTCCGCTGTAGCAAAATCACCGCCTTGGAAAAAAAAAAGAAAAGAAAAAAAGCAAAGCAAAGCAAGAAGTAATATATCTTGATCCCTTTTCCCCCATAAAACCCTGGGAGGCTGGTGGAAGGAGCGGAAAGACTGAGCTAAGCCTGCAGGAAATTAAACATGAAATGAAAACAAGCTCAAGTTATTCAATTCTCTCATCCCAGGCTCCAATTTCCCATTCCAGGCCACTGATAAAATGGTGTCCAGTTTCAGCACTTAGGGATGAATTCTGGCTCTGTTCTTGCAGGCTGGAAAGCAAAGGGCTGGTGGCCATCTCCGGGAAGAGGGGAGATGGCCTGGCCTGTAGCAGAGGGATGGGGTCCTGGGGACAGACAGACAGACAGACGGAGGCCGAGCAGAGGGAGGAGGGCAGCCAGGGGGACAGGGACGGGCCGAACGGATGCTGTGAGGCT